ATGGCCTACAAGTTCAACCAACCATTAACTAATAATCATTTCCCTTCTAACCCCTGAAGTCAGACCATGGCGAAGCGTAAGCACTTCATGAACAGCTCACTTGGGACCTGCAAAGAAACGCCCAAAACAACCACTGTGTGACTCAATGAGTCAAAGACACACCCTCTAAAGTACAATGTACCAATGTTTTTTCAACACAGTTTTTTTCAGTTACTGAGCTGCTTGTGTAAATCACTAAATCTAGCCTAATATTAATCACAGCAGGTACTAGCTAAGCTCCAGTACAGCCTCCGTACTATAGTGTTAGCTGTAACACGGTGGTACAATTAATCCACTATTAGTAAACACAAAGAAAGTAAATTTTGTCTTTTTGTTCCATATTAAACAGATTTAAAACGACAGAGAAAATGTCTGAAAACAGGGATTTTCTTCTACTTTATTGTCTTTCAGATGTTAGTATTTTGGTTTTAAATAAGTATATTAACGAAATTGACATTATTTGTATAAGTATATTAATGAAAGAGCTGGTAAAGCTGTAGTTGTTCAGAAACAATGCTCCGTATTGTACTGATGTGTGATTTTTATTAACTGTCTTACATATATATTACATAATATATTTGTTATTGTCTGACACACAGTCTCATGTCAGTTTTCATATATAACTTAATGTGTGTGTGTGTGTGTGTGTGTGTGTGTGTGTGTGTGTGTGTGTCTATCATTTGAGCTGTCTGTCTGTCTTATTGTTAATTGTTAATATATAATGGAAAATGTACTTGTTTCTTACAACATAGAATTAACTTTGCACTAATTCATCAGACTTTTCTAGCAAATGGTACATCTAACCCTCTGGTGGATTTGTGCATGAACAGTAGGTGCTAGAAACAAAGCTTAAGTGTTCGTTTGTAGCAGAGTTGTACATGTTGCTTGTATGAAAATATGATTATTCTTAAATATTTTTTTCTATATATTATTTCGCATAAAGCAATATGTGTTAGGTTGTGCCCTGCTCTCCCCTTTGATTGTTCATGAAAGATGACGTGTAATTTCTAGAATGTCCGTTAAAAAAGCGGGAGAGGACATTCTTTTACTTCAGGATTATTATACACTACCTATTTGTTTGTCACCTTTATGTTATAGATGTTCTAGATATGTTCTAGCGAAGGGTTGAAGTATAACAATTATAAAAATGAGAACAAAGAAATAAAAAGTAGCTTTAATAATAATAATAATAATAATAATAATAATAATAATAATAATAATTCCATAATATTTTGAATGAAAGTAGAACAAACTGAAAAGGGCATAAAATTTATTACAATCTGAAGTTCTAGGATTATCTGCCCTTGATTCATTATCTTTGTTCATGTTATTGTCATGCAATTACAACATTAAGTAGCGTAGATGGATCAGTGATGACCAGTTATTACATAAATAATACTATTACAAACATAAGGCTAGGGCAATCACAGAACAACACAAGAACAATCATAGAACAACTCAAGAACAATCACAGAACAACAGAAGAACAGTCTGAGATCAGTTTAACTTCTTCAAACATTCACAGCATTCTGAAATTTTGCCAACAGTGTCTTCATCTGTCTATCAGTCGGAGGCATAGTCATAGGGCCTGCCCAATCAACTGGGGAAAATATTTATTAAGTAGAATTTTTTTAAGGTAATGCAGTTTGATTTTTAATGTAAGTGCTATCACTGTATTACAGCCAATAAATTATTAACCCCTCCATCTAGCTCCTATTTCTCAGTCCTCCAATCACTGTACCGAAACTGTTGCTATCCGTGATGCCTTAAGCTGTCAGTTTATCAATATGCCACACCCCCAGGCTACAGCTATGCACATAGCCCTCGTTTAAGTGGCCGAGGTGGAGGTATAGCAACCATCCATACTAAAGTCTTAGGTGTGAGCCAGAAAGTAGGATACAAATTCTCTTCTTTTGAAGTTCATTTTCTTAATATAAGTGATCAAGGAACAAATAAAAAGTCCTTTTCACTAATTACAATTTACAGGCCGCCAGGGCCGTATTCTCAGTTCTTACAGGAATTCATTGAGTTTCTATCAAGTCTAATAACACTTTCAAATAAAATAATAGTTGTCGGAGATTTTAATACCCACTTTGACAATCCTCAAGATGCACTAAGCAAGGCATTTATATCTGTCATAGACTCCATAGGTTTCACCCACATCATAAAGGGGCCCACACACTACCACAGCCACACTCTAGACTTAATACTAACCTTTGGTGTGGACATAGATAACTTAGCCATTCTCCCCCAGAGTACAGCAGTCTCAGATCATTACTTAATCTCATACGAAATTCACTCTGGTGGTAATACGCATTCATCACCATGTTATCATGTTAAGCAGACAATAACTTTCTCCACAGCAGGTAGCTTTATTAGAAACCTTCCAGAATTATCAGCTTCTGTCAGCTGTCCATCTGATCCTACCGAGTTAGATATTATGACCAAGCTCTTAGAGGATAATTTTCGATCTATTCTAGATAGTGTGGCCCCATTAAAAAGTAAAATAATAAGGCAAACTCGCCTCTTGGTGTAATGATCATACTTGGGCTTTAAAACAGACTGCCAGACCACTAGAGCAAAAATGGCACCTGACTAAGCTAGAAGTGTTCCAGTCTGCCTGGAAAGAGAGCCTTATAGACTATGGAAGAGCACTTGCTAGTTAGTGAACCCCAGATACCATTAGCCTATAGCAGCAATGATTTAATGAACTTCTTTAGTGATAAAATTGAAAAAATTAGGCAGAAAATTCAGAATGCACAGTTAAAATCTACAAACCTGCTTCCCCATAATGCCAGCCTCAATCTTGAGAATATTATGATCCCTGCAGAGAGGCTGGAATCATTTACCTTACTTCAAGAAAATGATATAGTTAAAATCGTTTCTTCCGCAAAATCATCTACTTGTATGTTAGATCCGATTCCTACAGGTTTACTCAAGGAAATTTTGCCAGAAATAACAAAGCCTATTCTCTCAATAATAAACTCCTCTCTTAGCCTTGGATACATCCCAAAATCTCTTAAACTAGCAGTAATTAGACCACTAATTAAGAAAACTAACCTCGATCCCTGCGAACTATCAAATTATAGACCCATCTCAAATCTCCCCTTTATATCTAAGATCTTGGAAAATGTTGTAGCAAAACAATTAAGCTCCTATATGCAAAGGAATCAAATACATGAAAAATTTCAATCTGGTTTTAGGCCACATCATAGTACAGAGACAGCACTAGTAAAAATTGTAAATGATCTATTATTATTCTCTGACCAAGAAAAAGTGTCTCTGTTAGTCCTCCTCGATCTTAGTGAGGCATTTGACACAATAGACCATGCTATCTTATTAGACAGACTAGAAAACCTTGTAGGAGTAACAGGAATAGCTCTTTCCTGGTTCAGGTCCTACCTCACTGATCGCTATCAGTTTGTTCATTTAAACAGTGAATCATCTGCCCTCACAAAAGTAAAGTTTTAGGACCTGTATTATTCACACTATATATGATACCACTGGGCACCATTATCAGTAAACACGGCATAAATTTCCACTGTTATGCCGATGACACTCAGTTATACTTAGCAAGCGAACCGGATGATAAAATTAAACTTGGCAAGATTGAGGACTGTATAAAAGACATAAAAGACTGGATGTTTCCTTCTTAACTCGGATAAAACAGAGGTTCTACTTCTTGGTCCAAAAGCAGCTAGAAACAAACTGTCTAATTTTACACATTAATTTAACAATTTCTCAGTTGCATCATGCTCACCTGTAAAAAATCTTGGTGTCATGATAGACCTAGATCTGTCCTTCGACGCACATATAACTAATATTACTAGAACAGCCTTCCTGCATCTCTGCAATATTGCTAAATTAAGAAATGCATTATCTCTACAGGATGCAGAAAAGTTAGTTCATGCATTTATTACTTCAAGGCTAGATTACTGTAATGCCCTGCTGGCTGGATGTCCGAGCAAAAGCCTTAACAAGCTTCAGCTAGTCCAGAACGCTGCAGCCAGAAACCAGAACCAGAAAATTTGACCATATCAGCCCAGTTTTATCAACCTTACACTGGTTACCAGTTAAATTTCGCAGTGATTATAAAATTCTCTTACTGACTTATAAAGCTGTAAACGGACTCGCCCCTCTGTACCTGAGTGAACTTCTCTCCCACTATGAACCATCACGCCTACTTAGATCACAAGGTGCTGGTTTACTATTAGTACCTAGAATTAATAAAGTTACGTCAGGGGGGAGAGCTTTCTCATACAAAGCCCCCCAGCTTTGGAATAATCTTCCTGTTAATGTTCGGGACTCTAGGCTAATAACTTACTTGTATAGTCAAGCCTTTGGTAATTAGTTTTCCGTCGTGTCATGTTCTATACCTGCCAGAGTCTCTGCTGCTCTGCTAACACTTTAATCTGTGATCAGTCACCCATTACAGAACTGACTATCTGTGTGTTTTTCCTTTTCTTTGCCGAGTTGAACAGCTGCCCATCCTGTGCATCTGATGCTGCTGCCTCTTCTGCCTTGATCGGGTGCCACTGCTGCCAGCCCTCTGGACCGGCTTGACCACCATTGAGCTTCATGCTGTACAACGCCGTGCAAACTTCACCCTCACATCCTGACCCTACTGATAAACTTTGCTTGCTTGTAATTAAATGATGTAACTGGGGATGTTTAAAAATCAGATTCTAACCCGTTTCTTCCCATCCAAGTTTGTGAAAAAATGTGTCACTTTTACTTCAATGGCTGAAATCTAATGTTACTTCAATGACTCAAATGTATGGCATGAATAGACCATAAACATTTTTATGTCCAGTATTTTTGGCTTTGATTATTAGTTTTAGGTTTTAAGTCTGCTGTGTTTCCTTGTCTTTGCACATCTCAGCTGTCAGATTTTATCTCAGTTATGTTGTCTTAACTGCCAGCTGTGGCAGTATGCTTTAGCTTTATGTGAATTTATTATTTTGGTTGATGGTAATGTTATAGGGGAATGAGCAGGTTGATGACTGCATGGCTGTTGGGAATAGGCTACAATCTGATGACAAGACATTGCAGGACATTAGCACATTTGGAAAGTGTGTCCACAGGCCTGCCCAAAATTTTATTTGTCTGAGATTATAAAAATGACTTGAATTAGGACTATCAGTCAAATACTTTTAATTGCGTCACTTCTTACCTCTGCTATCAGACTCCATAAGAAGTGCTTCATGAATAGAGTGATAATAAAAGTCCACAGTCCTGCTTTATGCTTTTACTGCTTTTCAAAATACAAAAATAAGTCACTTAACAAATGAAAAGAATGCTCAACAAAATCTGAAATAAAGCCTTAAAAGTGCAACAAACAAAACATTTCAGTGTAATACTTTCCCTGTATTACATTTCCTTGTATTTCTTCCATGTCCAGCAATCCATCAAGTCCATAACAGAGATTTTTAGCACCAGGTATAGCAGAACAAGAAACACGATTGTAAAATCTTAATACTTAAAACATTTTTTGTGCTCAACCTTACTTTTCCTTTCCTCGCTGACATGCTGGGACAAATAAAAAACAAAAAACAAACAAGACAATATAAATAACAACATATGGCACTTACAGGAGGACCAAGCACCTAAACAGGAGGACCAAGCACCTAAACACCAAGGCTCTGTAGAAGTAACAAAATATAATTGTTTTGTAAAAAGAAAAGGATGTAAAGAAAAGTTCCAAACGTGCAACAATAAGCAGCCAGCAGAAAGAATACAACCTTTGAGGGGGCAGGACAGTTTTATGGGTCAACTTCATTGGTCTTGTAGATTAAGATTAAGGTCTAATTGAGGTGAAAAACACTGACACTATAAATGTTACAGGTAAAAAAACTTGAATCATAGTCAAGATTAACACAAACATGTATCACCTCACATTTAATCTATAGAGCATTTCAAATTAACATGTGAAGCAATTCAATTTTATATTTGGGAATTATTGTTTATTCATATTACAGCCCTGAGTCTGATATGCAGTATATTCAGGTCACTGACATCATCTGCATGGCTATAGAACTGAACCACCGATTGTTTATCTGATCCAGTGGATGTTTATAAAGTGCATAAAAAACTGATCACTCCACTCTGGAAGACATTTCATCTTGTGGACCTCAATCACTTTTTTACTGTAATACTTATCCACTGTGACCACTGTAACATTACATTAATTTTTTTCCCTGGAAGTGCAAAATCCAATGATTCCAAGGTCCTGGACTTTATATACTGGCTGTGATTCATATTTTTAGACCCTGATGTGACAGAGTAGGTCCCACTTACCCCTGAACATTTCAGGCTTATTACATACTAACTACAGGCACTTCAATGCAAACTAATGGAGCTTTTATTAGGTTATAGAAGTGTGTATTAAAACTTGCCTTGGAAAGGGGTTAATTCAAGAGAAACGCATATATGCCAGCACCCATTTTTACAGTGATGCACACATCTGCAGTGAGGTGATCTCTGAAGGAGGTGAGCCCAACTCTCGCCAGTGTGAAAGATGTTGGCTTTAAAGAGATGCTTGCCTGATGCTTCATGTCAGAAGTGTTCTGCAGCAAAGGCAACAGAAAGTGAAACTTCCTGATTTGTAAAGTGTCTGTGCTGATGCATAAGTGAATCATCAATGTGAAATGATGTCATTTGGATGCCATGATGTTTCTTCTTCTACACACCAGGGCCTGACAGAACTGTGGTTTGTTTCCTCCTCAGCAAGGCTGGGCTCATGTTCCCCTGCTAACACAAAGGTAATGGCACAAAGCTTGTTAGACTGACAACAATGACAGTGTAATTTAAACCTCACTGTATTATTTTAATAAACCTCTCTTAGGTCTAGGGGAGGCTGTGATGTGTGAAGTCTGAAGGGTGGGTGGATAGGAGGGTAAAAAACCACTAACTTGTGTTATTTTTACTACTGAAAGCTTGAAAAGTGACTTCTTTAAAGGGAACTTACCAGATCCAACCCAGCAACGGCATGTGAGGAACCGAGAGACTGCGATGACAAAGCGTTGAATCACAGTGGTCAAGGTCTCTGGGGTGAAAAATTGGGGATAATTAGGCTGTGGAAAGTCACAACAATGTGGATGCAGGGTTTTTTTCCAGATGAAAATCTGTCAGCATTATGCTGGTATGCTCTAGAAGATTTGCCTAGTGTAAATTAGAGATATACACTATATGGACAAAAGTATTGGGGCACCTACACATTACACCCACAGGGGCTTTTACGACATCTCATTCTAAATCCATAGGCATTAATATATAGTTGGTCCTCCTTTTGCAAGAAGAGTTAATTAACAGAAACCAACAAAATGGCTAAAAACGCTTAATAGCTTTTTGGGTAAAAGACTCTTTAGTCTGTGGAGCTAATCCAAATGTATTATATCTTAACTGGATTTATCTAAGTAACAATGGATTAGACCAGAAATAGTAGGTTTTACTAGATGTATATTAGTGATTTTAACAAATAAGTACAGTAAACCCTCCAAAAAATATGTTAGTGCAGTTACATTTGTAAGAATAATGTAATTATTTGATTATTTGAGCACAATAATGCACCCAGTCTCCTGTCTACATAAATAGACGTAAAACTCTTCGAAGTTCAGTTTGTATTTGAACACCTAAACAATACCTTTTACATCTGTGAGAGTGAAACACAGAGAGAGAGAGAGCAGACAGAGAGGAAGAGCGAGCGTGAGCATAACGAGACATGGGAGGGCTAGAGTGCGGAAGAGGAGAGAGAGAGAGAGAGAGAGAGAGAGAGAGAGAGAGAGAGAGAGAGAGAGAGAGAGAGAGAGAGAGAGAGAGAGAGAGAGAGAGTCATGCGTTCTCTGCAGCTGAACTGTACACTGTAAACAAACAAACCTGTAGTGTGCATGTAAAACAGAGAGCGAGGCAGCTGGTTAGTGTCAAAGAAACTGTGTTTGAATTTAATGTAAGCACACGTTTCCCACTAATCCGAACTGCCAAACTGAACCCGAATGACTTCCAGAAACACTACTACACACCTAAAGAGTCCTGAACAAGAACAACTGTACGAATAGTCTGTCAGAGATTCATTTCAGACGCACGCCAGACGAGACACTTACACAGTTTACTCAAAACCTTAAACAGGACCGCGAGTTAAACTCGCTCCCGACGGCTGCGCTTCTGGACATCTCTCAGCACTCGATCATTCCTCATTTAATCACAATTAAGACGAGCGAATGAATCAATAATACTTGTCATCTCGTTGTATTACCTCTGTTGTTTGACTCCATAGGAAGCGCTTCGCGAACGGAACAGTGCGGTGATAAACTCCTCCGTCCGCTGCTCGCTCCGCAGAAACTGTGAGCAGCGGTGAAAACGGACACCAGAAGTTACACACGCGGCTCGGCCAATCAAATCAGACCTCGTAAGTTGTAAACCAATCAAATCACCTAGACGAGACTGCTGTGACGCTGTCGTGACGCGCTCAGAAGCAACCCGTGCAGGAATTTCCAGGGCAGCTCTGACTGCACGCCCGCGCCAGAGCTGCCTTGCTGGGCTCATTGCAATTGATCTACCTTAAAGAGCGCTGTGGCGTGGCCTGTAGAGGGCGCCATTTAGTCATTATAAAAATGCACTCCTTAGAAGCGGGAAAAACCGAAAAAATGCCCACATTTATTAAGCATCCCAGAGTAACAGCACTGATCTAACATTAGGCTTCATCAGGTCATGGAATTTTATTCAGAGTTACATAAAAAGCTTTTGTGTTGTTAAGTGTTACTTTAAGTTAAGTGTATGTATTATTAGCCTATTTGTGTGGTTCTGTGTTATGGTGTGGGCTGTGTGTGGTGAGGGTAGGTCACTGCCAGGTTCTTGGTGACCACCTCTACGGTTTCAGCTCTTTGTATCTGTTGATGTATTTCAGTAAAAAGCACTTCTCACAACAAAATTATGGTCTCTCCTGTTTTTCTCAATGCCAAGAACACAGCATGTAGCTGTGCTCTTTCGCACCTCTCCAATCAGACTCCGTAAGAAGTGCTGGGTGAACAAAGTGATAATAAACGTTGAAGCCTTTTTAAAGGTGGGCCGTAAAACTCAAGTTTTACCATCTGTAGATCACTTATACATGAACATTTTTATCATCTGCAGATGACAAAATGTGCTGTTTGTACATGTAAAACACGTCTTTGTCCGTCCTCATCTGAACAAACAATATTTCACATGTGCAGGTGATTGTTTTTGGCCCTGATATCATGCCATACGTTCAACTCATACGGCACACTGTAACTTGAGGTGACCAGTAAGTGTGAAGTTAGATGTAAGACTATGGGGGAAAAATCTAGACTAGACTTTCTCTTTAAAATGCATATAATGATCATTTAGTTCAGTTACGGTGCTGCTCTTTTACCTTTATGCCTTCTGTATTTGCCGCTACTGATGCACAAACGAGCGACACAATCTGGGACGTCTGGATTCTTTTGGAACTCTTGGGCTCGAAGCAGTGATGAGGAGTCGATTCCAAAAGAGTCGATTCATCGGGGCCGACTCTTGACCAATTTCCCTGAGAGTCGAAACGTTTGGAGTCGACTCTTCGTCGTTTTTTTCCTTGTAATAGTCTCACGGGACATTCGTGGAACACAGTTGAATAAGACAAATAGAAATTCGTGAAAAGAAGAACAAAAACAAGAAATTCGTGGAAAGAAGAAGACCCCCCCCCCTCCGGGTCAACGTCACACATTTTTGGTGCTCTCGCTTCTCTGTCTTGCTCAGATTTAAAGTACAGGTACACTGTAATCCCGCATTTTGCTTTAACTCAAATAAATTAAGTCTGTTTTACATAAAACTCAGTATATCCCACATATTGCTCAACAATTTTAAGTTAAGCAACGTTTTTGATGATTTTGTACACCCAATTGGCATTTTTGAGTTGAATTAACTTATTGCTACCCAACATTCAAAACATGACGACATATCTGTTGGTTTT